TCTGTAATCTGTAATGGAATACATTTTAAAAGTAACCTTCCCAACACTGGTTGGGGGTGAGGGGAAATCAAGCTGAAAGAGTGACTTATATATGGTATTTTAGTCTATAACAGACATTGTATTTTATACAGCTGTTCTGTTTACTGTGCATGTTTCCAGATGTTCACCCTAATAAGGAGTACCTGATCAGTGTGTTTCCTGTTTACAACCAGCAGTATGGGTCTCGTCAGTCTCTGCCGGCAAGTCTGCAGCACGGAGGTAAACGTGAGCTCAGATAGAAACGTGTGGGGGTGATAACCTCTGCGTCTGCACAGGATGATTCAGATTTACTCGGTAATGTGAATCATCAGCTCTCAGTATTCTCAGTTAGTATTGTTTCTGTGAGTAGAAAATGAGAAAAGTCTTATCTAAGAGTCAATTAATAGTGATGCTAATGCAGTAAAATGGGCGAATAATATGCAAAGTAATTTACAGCAGAACAGAAGTTATTTGCATTGAACTAAATGCAGGGGAAAAAAATTGAGGAATCTATATCTGACTTTCTATCTGTGTGTGTTCATCTTCTCAGCTTTGATGGAGGTGGTCAATCTGAGTGTCAGTGTGACTAAGACATCAGTGACCATTATGTGGGAGTGGCAGAGGAAGTCTGAGCCAGTCAGAGTGAGCAGATATGAAGCAGTTCTGAGGAAAGACTCAGACAAACAATGTATGTGGGTTAATGAGCCTTTTAACATAAAATCTCACTCTGCGGTAAAAACAAAAGTTTGTCTTTTTTGCATTAGATTTGTCCATGTATATTTTCTCGCTTGCAGAGGTGTTACAGAAAACTGTCATGCATATTTTATCACCTTTTTGCAAATGCAACATACATTCTCTCATTTCCAGCTTTACCTTTGTGGCCAGATGACCAGCAGCACACTTTCTATGACCTGATGCCCAACACTCAGTATTCTGTTACGCTGTTGGCTGATAATGTTTCTAAAAGCATCGTTCAAATGACGACAGATTTCGGTGAGTTTCACTGGCCCCAAAACCAGATTCCTTTCTGTGGTTTTTTTTGCATTGCAGCGTTGGCCACATTTCTTTGTAGTAGATTTCTTCTCAATATACTTAGAATCAATCATTGAAGCCATATCTGCAGCGCCCCCTGGTGTGTGGACTGCAGCATTTGTTCACCTGTGAAACCAGTTGTATATCCTCCTAAGACCCAGCAATTAATTTTGATTCTCTGTCTGAGTCTGAGATCTCTATATCAAGCACTGCTTATGCATCTCTTTCTGTTGATGTCTCATTTGTTGGGGGCTGGGCTAACAGAGCACATGGACTTTCATTTAAAATGGACAAAAATTGCAGTTTCCACATTTCAAAGCCACAAGGGAGGTTAAGTACCAACATTTTTTCAGATATTATCACTTTATTGCCAAAACTGAAATGGTCCAATTTGACAGTCTTGACTTTGATTTTGCAGGATTGCAGAAATGTGCAGTAACTTTACCCCTTTCGAAATAAAACAGCATCGTTTGTAGTGGACAGCACGACTTGCTACCTCACATTTTCAACCCATGTCAACCCAAGAGACAAACAAAAATACATTTAAACTATCTTAAAAAAATCTAAAAATTTTCTGCTGTATTTCTGGAGGATTTCCCCCCCCAAAAAATGAAAGTCTATATCATACAAATGCAAATAAGAACTTTTCACATGTTACAAGACACAATTATGTGAAACACACTTTGCAATTAAGATATTTTCTATTATAATAATAAGTGAGTGGACTGCCTAAATTAAAGTCAGCTTGATGGCTTTTCTTTCAGCATCAAAAATCGAATAACTCTTATAGCACAATAAGAGAAATAACAGACTAGAGAGCAATAAAATGTTGAATTTGTTATATAGGCTTTTAATTTGAAAAGCACGGACGGATGGATAAAGTGGAGGTGGCTATTACAGAAAATGCTCGACAGTGAGGTACACAACTGACCCAGATGATGGACATAAGTACCGGTGATAGAAACATACTGCTGTGACTGCAGGAAAGTGATTTATTTATTGTTTTTTGAAACATAAAGAGAATCTGATATTCTTCTTTCCAGATGATGTAACGGTGGTGGCTACAGCGATTCCTCTGCTGCTGGTTGTTGTCACTGTGTTAATCCTCTCCATCCTGTCCAGGAATCTGTGAGTGCTGGGCAATCTGTTCTTTTAGTAATACTAATGCGTTTGTTTTTCATGTGTGCCATGTGATCTTTGGCCCAAAGACTGTATGCAAGGCATGGCATGAAGGGAAAAAATGTACGTTAAATGTTATTTGCTACTAACTAAAGTCATATTTTGCGGTAGCATTACCAAAACGTGTCTGAGAACAGCTTCCTTAATGTGAATATTTACCAGTATTTCACGAACATTTATGGGATTTAACAGCGGTTAACACAATTCAACATGTAATACATCTGAATGTATTACAGCAATGCAGTGTAGCCTTTTTTTATCTGACCTCAAGTCATTGGCCCATGAACCTGCTTTTTCTGGTCAATCTGGCTCTGAAAGATTAAACATGCTGCAAAAATGCGAACAGTTTCCTGAAGATTCTCGTGGTTTCTAGGACTCTCTAGTGAATGCTCTGATAGTATGCGGTTAGTCCTTGTCACTGATAATGACTTTAATCAACATTACTTTTTAGGTACAAGTCGTACTTCTTCCCGCTAATCTCTAGCCCTCGACTAAGCAAAACAGGCCAGTGGCTGATGGACCCGAACCACGAGGTAACCTGTTTTTTTTACAGCTTTCACAGTTGGGTTAATTACTTACAGCTCATATATCTGTGCATGGGAGACTTCATGCCCATCGTCAGACTCAGATTTACAATATTAGTCCAACTAATTATAACAAAAACACCTGTTAATGATATCTACTATCACACAAAATTTGAACATGATATCTTGAAAACTGTGGATGCTAATAAACAGACAACGAGGGGGGAAATGGCAAAGACACCATACAGAAACGGGAACAAGAAAACTTCTAAGATTGACAAAATGACCCGTTAGGGTTTGCACAACTAAGAAAAAGAGAAACAATAAACACAAATATATGTAAAGCTACAGCAGCCAGCCACTCATTCATTCCTTTTTTTTTTAACAGAAATTTGCAGAGAGGAGCATCCTTAATATTGAAGACTTCCAGGTGACTGATGCCCTCAGAGACAAAAGTCTCATCATAGTTGAGCGATCCTCTCAGCTCTTACCAGATGATGACCAGCGTGAGGATACCTCTCTGCTGTTGATTGGCTGCCTCACTCTAGACTCTGAGTATGTTTCTTATAGTGCACAACCCACAGAGAACCAGTCCCGTCCTCCTATCAAGGTTTTCATATCAGAGGAAAATCAAGAGGCTGCCGGCGCTCCGCTACACGAAACCAAGCTCTGGCTTCCTCAGAGCGACAAGGACAGAAATCAGGCTGACATCTCCGAGATATCACATCAGACCGACGCTGCTGTGAGAAGTCGCTTTCCTGGTTTGTTGACTGAAAGTCAGCCTGTTTATCCGATGACCTGTGAGACAGAGTACGCGTTGAATTGGGGCAGGCGGAGTGACTGCTCTTGTCTGATCTGTGATGCAGGTTACATTTCTAACAGTGGCACAGGGTGAAAACACATTGAGAGACTCAGCAACTTCAGCAACAAATGAGCTCAGATGTGGCCCAAAGGTTTATTACAGCAAGGAAAACAATGGCCTGTCTTGTGGCGCAGACTCATCGGGTCTGCATTTTTGCTTTTTTTTGGTATTTTTGTATAAAGAAAATATGGAAAGTTCCTGTCGGATTATAATATTATTTTATGCCATGTTAGACCCCTAATTAAAGATTGTGAATTATTA